AAACATACATTCCATAAATATTTTTAAATCCTCTTTGAATGTCTTTTTCGTGGCCTGTTTCGTAAATATTTTGAAAAAGTGAATAGTATTAATTCAACTGAAAAAAAAAATGCCGAAAAAAGTTTATATTGAGATTCTTGACCAACAAGATGAAAACATTTTATTACATGCAAAAAAAAGAGAGACATATAAGTATACCAACAATACATAATAGTGTATGAAAAATATTCAAAAACAAAACTAATGATACGATACTATGTTTCTTTATGAGGATGAATGTAGGTATCCTGCGCTGGGCGGTTGAGAGTCTTTCCAATCTTGAAAACTTTTCGGTTTTTCCTCACCTTTTGTTTGCTCACCAATTCTCAAGAAGCTGCTCGATCTCTCTGAATTTGATCAATTTTAACAAAAGTCTTTCAATCGGTCTCCCGAGTAATTGTTCTTCCCAATCCTGGTGACCTCAGAAAAGCTCTGACGCAGTATGCATACAGATATCAGTCTTGTCTTTACATCCGCAGCCCATCCTTAACAAAGTCACTTAATGACGTGTGAAACATGGCCGACATTTTTTTTTTGCCATTCTTTTCTTCGTTATTTTTTCTTTCGCTAAATCGATACATACCTATAAAAAAAAGTCCTCATATATGTTGTGGTCAAAATTAAAATTCAGTCAAATTTAAAATTTGACTGAATTTTAATTTTGATCATAACATATATTTTTTAACGTTTTTAATAAACATTTAAGATCATTCTGATTGAACTTGAGTTGCAACAATAATCAATTCATTGTTGTTTTATTTTATTTCAAAGGATTACACCATATTGTTAGTCTTTTTTCACAGCCATACATTTTTGTACTAAAAAGTGGATAGATTGTGTTGAGTTTATTCGACAGAATGGATGAGTAAACAGACAGAGAGAAAGATAATAGTGTACAGGGAAAAAATTAAAATATCATCTGCAATTGTGGAGGTAATATTCCATTCAATGTAAAATGTATTCACAATAAAAGTTGAACCTAATTCGTGAAAACTTAAAACGTGATATTCTAATCTGCTATCATTCTTTCTCGATTTTTAGAAGATGAAAATCATCAGTTATGATGCAACTTTTTCCTACGTACATGACATAGCAGAATGTTTTTTTTTCTCCAACGAATGAGTCATCTATGAAACGATATAAAAGATTGCAGCACGTTTCTTTTACTCATATTTTTGCGTGCGTAGTTACGATTTTATTGCATATGTCATTGTAAGTATGTACTTTCGCTGTAAAAAAAAATTCAACAAGATAAATAACTAAAGAATAACGCATTACTTCTGTTGACTTTAGTTCATTTTTCCACAGTTTTCTAGACAATTAAAGCTTATCTGGATTGCTTTATGATCATTAAGATTTCGATTGACTCCAAGTTGAAATCTAATTTGTAGGCATTGTTTTTGACGATCTTTGTGTAATAGCATTGAGAACCTAGAAAGAGTCTCCAGTTAATTCAGAGAGTTTTAGTAGTTACGACAGTTCATTTTCAAAGAAGTTGAGTATAAGTACAAGCTGTCACATAAGCATAAGCCGTATTGAAATTCATTCAGAGATCTTCGTCGGATTATTATTGAGAATTTAAAAAGCATACAGACAAAATTTTTCACAAATGTCAATTTTGTTTTACCTATCAAAGCTAAGTAGATGTGTCTATGAGAGTCTTAGACAACAGAAGATTCATATCTGCCTCTCGACACATCCGAATAATTATTGTTCGAAAAAAATTGTTAACATTTGTATTTGTTTAGTTTATCATTATCTCTTTAGTTTTGGATAGTTACTAATCGACAGATGGATAATTCTGTAACTGATGGATATAATTCAACAGCAGCTTCAACTGCTATTATATCGAAAGATTCATCTTCATTTGTTTATCAAGATTTAATTTTTCATGTTCAAGCAATTCAACATAAAATGATCGAAATTACAAAATATCTTGATGATCAATGGAAAAATAAAAAGAAGATACGAAAGGAATTAAAATCACGTTCAATAACATTTGTTGATCCATATGGAAATCCAACAACTAATAAATATGTGGATCATCAATTGATCAGTACGTTATTTATGAAATACAAAAAAGATTATGTACCAAAATATTTGCAAAAATGGATTCAAATTGGAACAATGAGTCAAAATAGGATTTCGTCATTAATTGATTCTGAATCGAAATTATCTGTATTCGAATATCCAGATGGTTATCAATTTATAACATATGGTGAAGTGAAAATCTTATTAGTATATCGTGAAGATATATCACCTCAACAATTGATTCTACCAGTTCTTCTAACAGATACTATTGAAAAAATTAAAATGCAA